GGAAAAGAGGCATTCCACCTTAGTCCTCACAGGTGACGACGCATCTGCATTTTGATTCTTTATTGAGGATAAATGTAGATGTCTATGGGTCACAGCAACCACTTACCATCATGGATTGTTTGCTCGTTTGTCACCCTATCCTATAAAAAGAACAAGCCTACCTCAGCAGGGACTACGGATCTGGGTGACAGGCGTGAGTATTTATACATGTATTATGTATAATGAATGGACTGGTGTCACTGTTCACGGGTAACGTTTCGGCTCAAATTAGTTACTTCTTAAAAGTACATGCTGCAGCTTTATTTTGGTTGTAGCACGAAGAAATGGCCTGACCGGGGAAGGACCACGCCTCTGAGTATATTTATTCATCCATTACAGCCTATTAAAGTCCACTGCTGACATTAGGTCTCCCCATAGATTGCCTGATAGGTTGGTTATTTGGTACAGATGTCACGCTTGGCAACGGGTTACAAGCGCATTTTTTTATTTTTAGTTGTTATCAAGAAGAAGCTGGTGCTCATCTCTTGACCACGAGATGACATGGGGCAGTATATTCTTACACCGCCACCATTCGGTAGTTATAACAATATATAGTAATAGATAGATAACCCTTTATTGCATTTAAACATAAAGTTGTTACAATAACGGAAAACTTATGAACTACAAACCGTGTTCATATCATTAAGCGATTTCTACCTGACAAACCGAACGTAAAAGGACTTTGTAATTTTATATTTTGGCCGAAAGTGCAACGTGCAATATAAAATAAACTAAAGATAAGAAAAAAATGTTAAAAACTACTAATTGTTAAAAATATTCATATTATTGTATGAATAATTATATCTATACATCTATACAAATAATTAAAATTGAAGTGTCTGTTAGTAATGTTAAAATTACGGCTTTTTACTAAATGCATATGAAAGTTTGGTCATGTAGAAAGAATGAACGAGGAAAGAGTGACAAAGCAAATTTATGTTGCAGCAGTGAACGGCAGGGTCGGGAAGGGACGCCCTAGACGAAGGTTTATCGACCAAATCGGCGATATATTGAAAATGGACCAGTTTAGGAGTACCCTTAACCGACGAGCGTGTATGCGTAAATATATGGATGTAAAGGAGGCGAGAGAGGTGTATCAGGATCGCGCCAAATGGAAGTCCGTTGTCTCTGCCTATCCTTCCGAGTGACAGGCGTGAGTATTTGTGTGTGTGTGTGTTTGCATATGAAAGTATATACGATACTTATAACAAAACACACAATTTTTAAAATTTCTGTCTGTCTGTTTGTTCCGGCTAATCGCCGAAACTGATGGACCGATTTTGACGGGACTTTCACTGGCAGATAGCTGATTTCATAAGGAGTTACGTAGGCTACTTTTATTTTAGAAAAATTATTAGGGTTCCGCGCAAAAAAAAAAACTAAAACCCCCAAATAACACGCGGGCGAAGTCGCGAGGAACAGCAAGTAGTAATATAATGTCTATTGACCATAATATATAAATAAACATATATTCACATATATACATATATATATATATGTATATATATATATATATATATATATATATATATATATATATATATATATATATAACAGTGGTAGAGCCACGCGGCAGCTTTTGCTGTCGCACGCACGGGCCGGCTCGAACCGGGGTGGTACCACGATAATAATAGTAATACCAGCGTTTTACCAGAGGTTTACCTCTGCGTTTCGCTTGGTGAGTGCAGTTGGCCGGAGGCTCTTTTTACTGGAAATGAGGCATTCCATCTTAGTCTTCACGGGTGGGAACGCATCTGCATTTTGATTCGCAAACGAGGATAGATGTAGCTGTCTACGGGCCGCAGCAACCACTTACCATCAGGTGGACTGTGTTATCGTTTGTCACCCTTATCCTATAAAAGATATATATATATATATATATATATACTGCAGAGATAATTAAACAAAAATCAAGTAATGAAAAAAAGGAAATACATATAATTTATTATTATGACGGGAAATTCAAACAATAGTCCTTAAGTAATTTTTTAAACGTCTGTAAAGATTGCGCTTGTTGTACGTTAAACGATAATGAAATCCAACATCAGGTTGCTTGTGAAGTAAATAACTTATTATAAAATGAAGTCACGCTGCAAGAAGTATTCAAAGCCAAGCTGTAACATAAATCTTTCTCATTGTTTTTCAATTATAGTAACACAATAATTGTCAAAGGTTATTTATCGTTAGAGACTTTTTTCGCTAATTAAATGGACAGCCAGAGTATATTTATCATTCTTTGAGAAGCATAACCACTTCCTCATCAAGTTTATAAGTGCCTTGAAAAAATAACTGTGAATGTGTTAGTCCGGTACTTTGTGAACACTTTGAAGGACACACCAAATCGGAAATGGGTATGTATTTTGTGTGTATATATAATATAAATATATGGCAGTGATGTTCAGTCTATGTGATTCTTTTTGCTGGGCACAGGACTCCTTTCACTTCTTAGTGACTCACTCAGTTATTGATCAGTCCGCCGCACTGCTGCAGCGCCTGTCGCCAACTTCTCTTCGATATGTTATATACACATCAACAGAACCTGGTAGTAAATGGAGGAATGATAAGTTATTTTCAGGTCTTTATTAACAAATAAAAACATTTCGAATTTGTTTTGATTTAAATAAAAATCTTAATTTTTTATTCGCCCCAGAAAACTAGTATGATAAAAAAACTTCATTTCTTCTTTTAAAACTATTAATTTTAATTAAAATTGAAGAAATATTATAAAATCTAATTATTACTAATCAAAGTTGCCACCTCTTACATTAATTACGCATCGACATCAATTGTTTATACTTAAAATTAAATTGTCAATGTCTTGCTGCGATATGAGGTGCCATGTTCTTTGCAAGTGTTCATAAAGTTGTTGATCTGTCGTCAAATTTGGCGGGAAATCTCTCAAAACTTTTCGTTGTAACATGTCCCAGGCATGCTCTATAGGTATAATTTAAGTCGGGCGACTGTGCAGGCCGCACATCACATGCAAGACAGGAAACGAACAAGAAGGAGCATTATCGTTCAGGCTCTAATACCTCCTCGTGATATTTTTGTGGAGTCATGCTGCATTGGATACAAACGTGCTGGATTCGTCCGCCAAGACGAATTTTTGCTTACACCATGATTGCCCCGCCTTGGTATGAGTGGACCTCCTGAGCGTGCAGTAGACGGCTAATTCTCCACTAAGTTCTCCAAATGCATGTACTTCGTGAATCCGCATGAAACCGCAACCGGAACTTATCGGTGAACAGCACCAAAGACCATTGTTTGTCACTCCATGGTAAATGCTCCCGAGCTCACGAAAGCCGCCGACCGCGATTGTCACGTCGCAATGATGGAACACGTAGCGGCTATTGAGCATGAAGAACAACTTCATTCAACCTCCTTTGCACGGTTTGATCGCTTAGCAGGAACTGGTGGTCCTTCTGGAGCCTTTGCATTAGTTGCATCGTTATGATATTGGGTTGTCTTCTGGCGGTCATTTGGAGAAGTCGATCTTGTCTCTGCGTAGTAACACGATAGTATACGATATCTACTCATGTGTCATTCATTCCCAGTACTACGATAACGTGACCACAACCTTGATATCATGCTTTGGCTGGTGTATTTTCTAACATTCCGACGGCTCGTAACATTTCATCTCGACTCAAACGACGACGTGACATGACAAGCTCACACAGTACGTTAAGTTAAAAAAGAAAAACAAACTAATACCTTCTCATTAATTAATATCAATAGAAAATTTTTTAATTTTACCTTGCCGTAACGAATAACTAACAATTTCGCCGCCGTATTCTGTGTTTTTTTTTGTTTTTATTATTTACTTTTATTTTTGAAAATAGAATAAAAGAGGTTGCATATGTACTTATATAAACTTTTTATGGAAATTAAATATTATTATTTCCTTCACTGCTGGCCGGATGAGGAAGCTCAAGGACGCTCAGCGAGCTATGGAGAGGGCTATGCTCGGAGTTTCTCTGCGTGATAAACTCAGAAATGAGGATATCCGCAGTAGAACTAGAGTGACCGACATAGCCCAACGGATTAGTAAGCTGAAGTGGCAATGGGCCGGCCATATAGCTCGAAGAACCGACAACCGATGGGGAAGAAAGGTTCTCGAGTGGCAGCCTCGTACCGGCAGGCGAAGTGTAGGGCGTCCCCCCACTAGATGGAGTGACGACCTGGTAAGATATGCAGGAAGTCGATGGATGCAGGTGGCTCAGGACCGTGCTTTGTGGCATTCTTTGGGGGAGGCCTATGTTCAGCAGTGGACTTGTGAAGGGCTGTAATGATGATGATGATGAAAAATATGTTAAACTAGAAAGTCGTAAATAATTTAGGATTAAGGTATCCCTAGATTCTGTTGATTTTTATATTCTTCAGACATGCAGCTTTCCTCACGATATTTTCCTTCATCACATCCATTTGATCCCCGTCGGCACCGAGGACGTTGTGAGTTGTAATTGTAAAAAAGTTGTAAGGAAAACTACATTTGAAACTGTATAAGAAATAATAAAAATATTCCGTAAATATGTGAGGTCTGCCAACATGCATTGCGGTGGACATTAACTTGCACAAAAAAAAATTCCTCTCGGAAATAAGGGGCTTGTGCCTGGCAATGGAACATAACAATAATAACAGTGATGTCTTTCAGACTGTACTTTGGTCTCTGCGAAGGACAGGATTATAGTAAGTACATGATTGTGTGCGCAAGAACAGCTGAAATCCGCTGAGACCGGAGTGTGATCACACACAGGACCAACGCCTTTACGTGCTTTGCGAGGCACGAGGTTAGAACACCGTCAAATTCCTGATTCCGGGCAGTTTATGACAGTTTCTCCACATGAAAACCCAATAATTGGTCCGACCAGGATTCGAACCCTAAATCAAATCACTAACAATTATGACCACTTGACAAACTAGGTAGTGTATAATCTATACGGCTGTAATTTTGGTGTTTGTTACTGGTAGAGGAAGAGTGTGAGGAGAGCACGAGCCTCCCGGTGCGGTACCGGCCCGAGCCGCCCGCTGCCCTGGCGCGCGCCTCCCGGTTCACTCCGCACGAGATCAAGCTCATGTACCGCGGCTTCAAACAGGTCAGCTAGGTTTTTTTATTGATGCAGCGCGAAGTCTGCATTCTGTGACCACGTATAAGATCACCAGATTTTATGAGACTATTAAAATAAAAAAATAAAACATCGCGATTGCAATAGAGAATTAGGCTGGGTGCTACCATCTACTTGGGGTGCCATAATTAATAAAATTAAATTCCAATCCAACTATACAAATGCGGGACTTCAAGGTACTATAAGGTTATTCTACGTAGATTGGACCAAAACTTAATAATTTTAAACTGAAGCTTACAAACAATCTTACAGTCCACCTCAAGGTACCAGTCTACTGTACCAAGGACATCTGCTAGCGAAATAAAACAAAAAAGATTGCAGACATGTAGTCAGCTCTAAGATCGAATGCCTCACAGCTTGTGATTGTACTATTGTATATTGCAGAAATAATTATGTTGTAGTCAGTTACAAATCAAAATGCATTTTGTTTTGTAACTGTTATGAAATGAAATGAAAACTTCTTCAAATGAAAACTCGAATGGGGTTCCTATATCCGGAGACGAAACGGGGAAAGAAACTCCGCAGGTATCCCCTTTTCTGTAATTTTTTAAAGGCCCATAATGTAATATCCTAATAAAATTGAAAATTAGTTTGTTGTCCAAATTACGAAAAAAACATCTTTTAAGGCCAGGAGTTCGTAACCTGCGTGACCTTACAAAGCTTTTTAAACATACAAAACATCATAGGGAGGATGTTTTTTGTATTTTCCAGGTATTATGCTTCTGTTGCCTCTTACTACACCCACGGTACGATTTGAGGTAGTGGATATTCTTACATCGCCATTGCACGGATAATTTATTTGTTCGCTTAAACTTACTATAAAATATTTTTCGTTGACAGGAGTGTCCCACAGGAATGGTGGATGAAGAGACCTTCAAGAACATATTCTCACAGTTCTTCCCTCTCGGCGGTGAGTGATACTTGAATGTAGATCGGTTTAATGTCTTTGCTTCTTATATCCACGCGAATACTACACATAGGGAACGTAGATAAATTGTCATCACTGCTTTTCTGGTCATACAAAAATCACGGTTAAAAATAACCGTGTTCTGTCACAAAGATAACATCGGATACAACCCGAATTCATAATTAACTAGCTTACCAGGCAAACGTTGTTCTGCTCATTCCGACGACTCTTTATCCAATAAAAGAGGGTCACTTATCGGGATAAAAATTATCCTATCTCTCAAGTTGGACCAAACTGCACACAGTATGCAAAATTTTATTGAAATCAGTTCAGTAGTTTAGGAGTTCATCGTGGACAAACAATGTGACACGTATTTTTTATATATAAAGATTTGGAACAATCGTCCGCGTTTGTCTGTCCGTCCGATTGAAATCTGAGCGTCTTCAAAACAAGAGTGAATAGGCTTTTAAATGAAACTAGTTTTTACGGATTTTGTCGCGTATATTAACTTATTGTATGTTATACGTATTATATGTTCCGACACAAAGTGTTGTAAAGTACTTCGAGTACTTTACAACACCCATGATCACGGGAAGACTGAGTTCTTCGAAATATTTTTTAATTTCTTAGACATGCAGATTTCCTCATGATCCTTCACCGCAGAGCATGTGGTGAATCAGCACTTAAAACTGCAATTAAAAATTTCATTGGTGTCGGTGGGAATCGAACTCGTGTTGCTCGCGTAATGTATCTGCGGCGAGCGCTTAGCCGATAAATCAAGCCCACTGCATTTTACATGAGACCTATTTAGTGCAGTTTTTTAATCCTTATTAAGTGATCGCGTGCAGTGAAATCCCCTTATCACAGTTGTTAGTATTATTACGTTGACATACAGACTAATGCCCGCTTCCTATATTCAATAAACGTTTCTTTCGAATGCAATTACTTTTTTGTAGTATAAAGGTGACAAACGAGTACATAGTCCACCAGATGGTGAGTGAATGGTGGCTGTGGCCCATTGACATCTATAACTGTCCAAGATTAAGAATCAAAATACAGATTAGTTGTCACCCTTGCTTGTAGACTTAGATGAAATGCCTTGTGACCAGTAAAAGGGGTCTCCGGTTCTCAATACTCACCGTACGAAATATATAGGTATCCACTCAGACGTATTGCTGTCTGTTAGTCTCGCAAAAACTCTAAAGTGGCTGGACGGATTTTGCAGAAATTTTTTGTGTGTTTGAGCGAGTCGCTGGATGTTTTAGATTCACCATTGGTATCGGTAGGTGGCGCTGTTATAGAGAGCCAGAAATTACCCGTGTAAAGCCGGGATGGATTGCTAGTATTGAATATGGTATTTAATATTATATATATTAATAATGCTGTCTGGTATTGAATAAAAATAATTACATTCTATTCTATTTTATTCTTCTCTACTCCACTCTACTCTACTCTACTCTACTCTACTCTTTTCTACTCTACTCTATTCTATTCTATTTTATTGTATTCACATGCACTCCTAGCTACTAGGAGTCCTACCCCCAAGTTATATTGTAAATTTGATGAGTTATTTTAAATACTTTAAGGCTTCCTCCGTATATAGTTAATATACTGGACAAAGTTTAAATTTACCACCAAATTAAAAAAAAAGTTTGTTGAAATTCACTAACCCCAGTTTGCGGTTCAGTTATAAGACATAAGACCACGATGTTTTCTGATTCTGAAAGTTTAAAATTCGGAAAGGCTTCCGAATCCGCCTACAAAACTATTTGTAAGATTAAGTTCAGTTGACGTTATAGTTTGTGGATAATATTATATGACAAGCACAGTCACAGCATGTGGTTGTAGCGCGAATTGGTCGGCTCGACCGAGGAAGAACCACGCTAGCAAAGAATATATATACCGGCGTTAAATGGAATAGAAAAAATTTCACATCGAAGGATGGAAAGAACATTTAACAGTGGTAGAACCACGCGGCAGCTTTTGCTGTCGCACGGATGGGCCGGCTCGAACCGGGGTGGTACCACGACCTCACAGAAAACCAGCGTGAAGTAGAGATTTACCTCTGCGTTTCGCTTGGTGAGTGTAGCTGGCCGGAGGCCCTTTTTACTGGAAATGAGGCATTCCATCTTAGCCCTCACGGGTGACAACGCATCTACATTTTGATTTGTAATAGAGGATAGATGTAGATGTCTATGGGCCGCAGCAACTACTTACCATCAAATGAACTGTGTGCTCGTTTGTCACCCTTATCCTATATAAAAAAAACAATGGCAGAAAAATAGTTGACAAAAATTATCGCGTCTAGAAATAAGTTATATATAAAATGAATTTTATTATTTTTATATGATTTTTCAAGTAAAATGTACTTTAATTAAAGCCACAGAAAAAAACAAACATTTTAGGGAATATCAAATGACTGCAATCATTTTACACTATTCAAGTTTCAATTTCAGTTTCAAGTTCAAATTCAAAATATTTTTATATTAAGTTATCTCGTATTAGTAATAACTATACTATCACTAATAATAAAAATAAAAGTGATATGGTTGAGAATAAGTATCTTACAAAGAACTTCCTACGATAATACATTATCTCAATCATAGTACTATGTAACAATTCCATTTAATGTTACGGCAACACTAGCTAAAACAAAATGTCACTGTTATTTTTTACTGGCTTTACGGCTCTGGGTTCTAGCCCTTCTGTGAATGTTACTATGACACAAAGGCCCTGGAGCCATGCCAGAAATATACATTTAGAGTATGCAAATATATAATAGAGATAAAATAATCTAAAAACTCTCAATTATGTATTATGTAAGATAGTATGTAAGCTAACATCAAAAAACCACAGGAAGCATGACTTTTTCCAAGTGTCATAAGATGTAACCTAAAAAGGTTCAAATCTAAATATCTTTTTTTGGCGCCTTCTCAGGACAAAATTCTTTGACAGAGTTATTAAGGGACTGACGCTTAACATTTTAAGATATTTTTGATATATAGACGCTACTTTTCCTTCTCAACTAATTTTATGTATGAAAGTCTGCCATTGTTTTTTGGGAATAGAAATTTAACGTAACTTTTTAGACGACATTGTAGTTATTTCCTTAAACTTGCCCAGTGTACACAAAACAGTTTACCAATTAAATTTTTACTACGAAGTAAAACAGAATTCGAGTTATAATATAATTTCTACACAATGTTGGGACTTAATTGTTTGCTACGTGTAGTGTGTAATTGTCTAAGCAGAGGAGAAGCAAGAGACACGCTTACACGCACACACGCATGCACGTACACGCACACGCACACGCACATGCACACGCACATGCACACGCACACGCACATGCACACGCACACGCACACGCACACGCACACGCACACGCACACTCACACGCACTTGCTCGCGCACACGCACACGCACACGCACACGCGAACGCACACTCACACGCCCATGCACACGTACACGCACACGTACGCGCACGCGTAAATGTACACACACACACACACGCACACGCACACTCACACGCACACGCACACGCACACACACACGCACACGCACGCGCACACGCACGCGCACACGCACACGCACACGCACACGCACACGCACACGCACACGAACACGCACACGCACACGCACACGCACACGCACTCGCACAAGCACACGCACATGCACACGCACAAGCACACACACCCACACACACACACCCACACACGCAAATGCACAAAAAACAAATAAACACACACACACACACACACACACACACACACACACACACAAACACACAAACACACAAAACCTGAAATGAAAGTCTTAAAGTACAATCCTAAGCCACTTGTATCCGTCGACTTCCTAGATCTCTTGTACGAAGGTACCAGTCGAGAACCTTTCCTCGAGCTACATGGCCATCGCCCTCGGCCCATTGTCATTTCGGTTTTAACTCAATGTTTCACTTCATTAATATCCTCCAGACTGAATTTCGGTCACGGCGGCCCGTCTCTTCGTAGACTAGTCATCTGCACAGGACGTGAATCATAGTGCACGAGTGTATATGCGAGCACAAGTGCACTCTCTATTCACTCTAATAGTTCGATTGGATGGCAATCCGATACGACTGTAGAGGGATCAGGTGCAGGGTCTACGGCTTCACGTGCTTTGTGAGGCATGGGGTGGAACACCGCCAACTTCCTGACTCCAGGCTACTAATGACAGGTTCTTGATAAAAAACCCAATAACCGATTAAACTGTTTTTTTCTGGGAGTCGAACGTGGGACTTCATGATTAGCAGCCCAGTTTATGAACACTAAATCAATGAGGCAGTCAAATTGTAGTTAGCGGTCATTTATATTGTATTTTTTTACATACAGATGCGTCGCAATACGCGCATTTCGTGTTCAACGCCGTAAAACACAAGCATGGAGGCAAATTAAGTTTCGAGGTAAGTTTACTTGTGTTACTTGTAAATTGTAATATTCGGTGTTCTGTGAAATGCCTAAATATTTCGGCATACCTACAAATTAAATAAACGATACGCAATGTTTTTGCTTAAAATTTAAATTAATTGACTTGTAATTGAGAAACAGCTTATAAGACAGACATGCGTGCAAGAAAAACATTATTTAATCACTTAGCGGTCAGCCATCGCCGAGTCTATTTCTCCTGATGATGCCTCGTTTAGAAGGGAAACAGGTGTTTCGCGTATTATCGACGGCGGTGTGTCTTTCCTAGTTTAGTAGTGTTGGAAGTAGTGGTGTTGGAGATAGCACATGTAATTGAGAGAGGGGTGGTAGGTGCTTTCAAAGTAGGCAAGACACATAATTATTATTTTTTACGCAGATCTTAATTTTAACACTTTTAACTATTTATTTCCTTCCTTTTCTTTCTATCACCGGACGACTACATAATCTGGCCCTAATTTTTTTTATATAGGATAAGGGTAACATACAAGCACACAGTCGACCTGATGGTAAGTGGTTGCTGTAGCCCATAGACATCTACATCTATCCTCGATTACGAATCAAAATGCAGATGCGTTGTCACCCGTGAGGACTTAGGTGGAATGCCTCGTTTCCAGTAAAGGGTTTCTGGTTCTCTACACTCACTATACGAAACACAGCAGCGTTAAGCTGCCATTTTACGCTGATATTCTGTGAGAGTGTGTCCTTTCCCTGTCGAGCCGACCCATTTGTGCTATAACTGTACTACTAATATAGCTGCAGCATAGCTCTATCACGTTAAGCAGCAAGGCTGTACCACGTTAAGCAGCATGGCTCTACCACGTTAACATTTTACCTAATTGTTTATTTTTAAATACTAATAATGCTATTAAACATTACTAATATTCCCTTTAACCACTTCTGGTAAGCTTAAAATTCTTGTGTTAGAAGTGGTTCACGACAGTAGTCGAATGGCGGATTCGAACCCACGACCTTTCGAGTTCGCGGTCCACACCCTGCCGTTAGGCTACTGACGCTTTTTTACCTAACCGTTAACCTAACTGGTGTTTTTCGTCAATATTCCACGCATTGGAACCAAACAGTTTGCTTCGTCTTTCATAAGGAGTACAGTAAAGGAGGGGAATAATTTGCCGGTGTCTATATTTACATCCCATTTTGATTGTTATCGGGTGTCATGAATATTTATTTTGCAGGAGTTTCTCGATACGCTGTCACGGGTTGCACGTGGGTCTGTGCAAGAGAAACTCTCCTGGGTGTTCGCGCTTTACGATGTCGACGGTGATGGGCGGATCTCCAGGTCAGAGATGCTGGCTGTAGTGGAAGCAGTATACGAACTACTTGGACGGGCGGCGGTGCCCCCCGTACTTCCGGCATCTGCTAAGGATCACGTAGATAAAATCTTTAACGTGAGTTCGAATGAGAAAACGCCTGGAGAGATTTAGAAGTAATATGTTAAAAATCCTTCCATCCCTTTCTTATAAGAACAATGCAGACTATTTATATAGAGAATTATTTACCTTTATAAACAATGAATTTAATCTTCAAAAACATTCTCCAGAAACAGTCGCAAGGCATTTAATGAGTGGGCGACAGTAGGAATTCATAAAAGCAGACGAAGGTTACATGACCTTAACATGAAAGATCGTATAATCTTTCCGATGCTTTTAAAGAATATGTAAAAAATTATTCTAAAATGTTTAAAAGAGTTTGCTCCACAGCCAAATCATTACATATTAGTAACAAAATTAAGACGGCTAAGAATAAAATTAAAATGACGTGGAGTATAATTAACAGCGAAACCGGTAAAGAGAAACCTCGTAACTCAAACTATCAATTAAAAATTAATAATGAATTGACTAAATCAAATCAAGAAGTTGCAACGGTGTTTGAGAAATATTTCACTGATGTTCCTATCTTGACAACAGAGTCATTGAATACTTCTCTAACAGTCGCCGAGTCATTACTTAAACAGAATGTTAATACCTGTTTTAAAGAATTTAGATTTGAAAAAGTATTACCGCATAATATTGTAAAATACTTCAAAACCATTGATGTAAAGAAAACCGCAGATTTGTGGGGGATTTCCGTTACAGTGATTGCGTCCATAATAGATTTAATTGCACCTCATCTTGCTATTATTATTAATACTTGTATCGATTCTGGTGTGTTTCCTGATTTAATGAAGTATAGTAAAGTAATACCTTTATTTAAATCTGGTAGTACATTGGACCCCGCTAATTATAGACCTATTTCTGTACTACCAACTCTCAGTAAAATTTTTGAAAAAATAATTTTGGTTCAATTGTTAATTTTTTTTAATACAAATAAATTACTTCATAAAAATCAATTTGGTTTTACAAGGGGTCGCTCGACGTCTGACGCCGGTGTTGAGTTTATGTAATATATTTTTAATGCCTGGGAGAATTCACAAGATGCCTTAGGTATTTTCTGTGACCTTTCCAAGGCTTTCGATTGTGTTCATCATGATACATTAATCAGGAAACTACAACATTAGGGTGTAAAAAATTTGGCGCTTAGACTTATTACTTCATATTTAAGTAACAGAACTCAAAAAGTCGTCATCAATGGTAAATGTTCCTCCGGATCGGTAGTATCAATGGGCGTTCCTCAGGGCTCGATTCTTGACCCATCCCTGTTCTTAATCTATATTAATGACTTACCTTATCTTGTAGGGGACAATCACGATATAGTATTATTTGCTGACGATACCTCTTTAATTTTCAAACTGAAACGGCAGTCAATTAAATATGACGATGTAAATAACGCTCTATCGAAACTAGTACATTGGTTTAACGCCAACAATTTGCTCTTGAACGGCAATAAGACAAAATATATTAAATTTACAATACCTAATGTAAAACATTCGAAAACTAATGTGCTCTTAAATGGGGAGGAGTTGAGTCTTGTGGATACCACTGTTTTTCTCGGTATTACTATTGACGCGAAACTTCAATGGGGCCCCAATATATCTAAATTAGCAAGCAGACTTAGTTCTGCAGCATATGCTGTAAGAAAGATTAGAAGTCTCACAGATGTTGAGACAGCTAGGTTAGTGTATTTTAGTTACTTTCATAGCGTAATGTCTTATGGAATTTTGCTATGGTGTAATGCGACTGATATTGAAGCTATATTTGTTTTGCAAAAGAGAGCCGTACCGGCGATTTATAATCTAAATTGTAAAGAGTCCCTTAGAGAAAAATTTAAAGAAATAAACATATTAACTTTGGCATCGCAATATATTTATGAAAATGTAATGTATGTACATAAAAACATAAATAGCTTTAATAAGAATAAGGATGTTCATACCTTAAACACTAGGAACAAACATAAGCTTGTAATGCCACTTACTAGACTCCACAGAATTAGTAATTCATTTATGGGGCAATGTATACGCTTTTACAACACAATCCCAGAACATGTTCAAAGTTTGTCAATAAACAAGTTTAAAAGTTTTATTAAAGAAAAACTGTACAAAAAGGGTTATTATAATATCAAGGAATAGATGAATGAAAATAACCCCTGGGAATAAGGTAATCGCCACCATGCTGGTTCTATGAAAATTCATTTAAAATTGTATAAACATAATTTTTGTTAAGTGAAATTATGTTTAAAAAAAGTCCCGCTGGGTTTCTTGCTGGTTCTTTCCAGGACAGAGGTATTTTCCGAACCAGTGGTAAATAAAATAATGACTTTCAATAAGTGTTATGTAATAATCCATATTGAATAAAAATCATTCTGTTCTATTCTATTCTATTCTATTCATCATTACAGCCAGTCAGAAGTCCACTGCTTGCAAACGCCTCTCCCATAGATTGCCTCATAGGGTAGATATTTGTCATAGATGCCACGCTTGGCAGGCGGGTTGGCAACTGCAGGTTTTTTTATGATTATTGAATTGTTATCAGGAAGATGATACTGCCCATCACCTGTTTAAGTTTCCCTTTGTAGTCACTTACAAGGTGTTATGTTCTAGTAAAATTTTTTTATAGGATCGAGTGACAAACGAGCACACTTTCCACCTTATAGGAAATGGATGTTGAAGCCCATAGACATCTACATTTGCCCTCGATTAAGATTCAAAATGCAAATGCATTGTCACGCCTGAAGATGAAGATGTAATGTCTCGTTTCCAATAAAAAGGGCCTCTGGTTCTCGACACTCACCACACGAAACTCCGCAGCGTAAAGCTGCTATTTTCAGCTGTTATTCTGTGAAAGAGTGGTCCTACCCTGGATGAACCGACCTATTCGTTCTACAACCATAATATAGCTGCAGCGTGGCTCTACCGAATTTAAAACTAGTACTTTTTGTTCAGCTGATGGACACGAACGCCGACGGCGTAGTGACTCCTGATGAACTGGCACGCTGGTGCACGCGCGACCCGGCGCTGCTGCAGTCGCTGCAGACGCTGGACACGGTGTTGTGATGCGCGCCCCCGCCACCAAAGCCCCCGCCACCCAAGCCCCCGCCACGGAACATACGAAGGTTAATTTTGTAGCAGTGAGGGGTACACACCGTCGCAGTTCCGTCATGTTGCGGTCAGTCTCAACGGAGACTAGCCATCTGCGCAGGACAAGATTATAGATTATATATACATGCTCGAGTGCATGCGCAAGCACAGGTGCACTCTCTGTTCCCTCACTCTCATATTCCGATGAGACGGTAATCTTACACGACCGGATATCAGGCGTAAGACCAACGGTTTTACGTGCTTTCCGAGGGTGATACACGGCGAACTTCCTGATTCTAATACTCAGAATATCTAAACAGATAAACTCGATAAGTGATTGTGGCCCGATCCAGGATTTCAAGGTACCTTATGATCAAAAATCGCGTTTACGATCACTTCACCACTGTGGCAGTCAGCGGTGTAGTGGTAGCATAGGAAAATCCACTGCCGCATATCATTCCGTGGGTATCTCTTCTGTGGGTCTTTAGACAACAAAAATACGCTATTACCCCTGAGTTATTAGTAAAATGGGTCTCCGTTTCAAATAAAAGAAAACACAGCAGACCTATATATTATGCAACAGAACTAAAGTCCTCTGATGAACATAGGCATTTTCTACTCTAGCAGAGTTGTACCTTAATCGTCACGTTTGCTAGTAGAATCGATCGCCCAGACGTGAGCACCATTAAAGCTGCTGTTTTTACCCAATTTACGTATGACGTGAGCGAGGTCGGTAAGATTTTTCAGACGACATTTTCTATAGCTGCCTCTTACAACGTCTACAGAATATTATTTTATGGGATACTTCCCACCACCACGACACGGTAACTAGGAAATTTTAGAAGTTGTAACTTTGCCTTGTATTTTTAGGAACACTGAAGCGCAGGCGTCCTGCTCTAAAGCGGCCACTCCTAGTGATGTCCCTTCTCCACCCGCACGTCTCACAGCCAAGGTATGATTCATTTTTTACGTTACATATTTCAACAAAATTAGTTAGATTAACACAGGTTAATAATGATCTCTTAGAGGGAGATTTTAACATAACTTTGTTCAATTTGCTTTTGCGAAGAGGCTTACTCCAAAAAAAAAAATTAAACATGGACATAGACTTATTTAAACCATGACGATTTTTGATTATTTTTTTAAGATTTGTTTTTTAGTTGACTGAAGAAGCAGTACTTCGGAAGGCGAAACGACGTGGTCAACAATCATCTTCACCTCAAAAGACGCGGTGAACCAAACTAGGCTTTAATAAACTCTACGTAGGGATCAAATGGGATCATTTCACTATGCTCTTATTACGATTTGTGATCTAAAACTTGTAAAGTATTATAATAAAGGTTGTGAAAGCGAGGGATCTTTGGGACCTGAATGTGTGTGTATTGAAAAATTCACTTTAAATTCTAATGCTTAAGATTTGAATTTCTTCAATCCGCTTATTTTACTTTAAACGCTTGTCATTAGATTGTAGTAATTCAATTTATTAAAATCAATTTAATATCAAACAAATTAACAAGAGACAGGGAATAATCAGGAAATTTAAAAGACCTAAAATAAATAATTATAATAAAAAATGGTGACCATTCTTTTACCAAGTTTTTGGATTTCTACTAAAATTAATGTATTAAGTCTATAGCTCATCTGGGTGTTAGTTTAAAATAGATTGCAAAATCAACAAACAACTAAATTTATTGTCATCCAGTTCTGAACTCTTTTTAAATTTTCAAATATTTAGCTCATGAAAAAGTCAATTTAAAATCGATTTCAAAATTTGAACCGAACAGACAAACAAACATGTTGCATTGTGTTCCAGTTCTAAGCTATATTTAAGATATCAGACAGACAGGTATTTAATTAAATAATAGAAATAACAAAGTTTGTACCGAACAGACAGTCAGAGAAAGAAGCGAGTTTATAATAACGATAAATATAAACGTGTGTAAAAATGCAAGTCTTATGTTTTATAAAATACGTTACGTTAGCTTAGTTTAAATAACTGCGACACTGCTGTATCTGAAGCAAGTTTATATTAAATAGAAACCAGGTTTATAAGTAAAAAGCAATAATTTTGTTAAAGAAGACTACAAATTTGCTTTGTTAACTGTAAACAACATAACATTTTCAGAGAACAAAATCTCAGAATAAATAACTGAGCTCGGTTTCATATCATTGATCCGTATATTCAAACTTGAACACAGACTTATTTAGCAGTAGGTATTCAAACAAAATAAAAGAATAGATTAAAAAACCTCTCATCTAAATTAGTTTCTTATAAGCAAAACCCAAACTTAAAGGTAATACATAAAATAATTATTTCTTGTGTCTAAATTTATCAGACGATCTGATCTTTAATCTCTTTCTTATTACTTAAGATTCGGCTCTCCTGTCTTGTTACAGTGACGTAGAAATAAAAATAGATTTTTTAACCAATTGTATTTGTGCTCTTTTAAAAAGCTAATAATTTATGATAGAGGCTAATGTAATGCTTGAAATTTCTTCATCTCTTTACTGATTTAAGTAATATCTAATGAGAACTAAATATAATTAGAAATCAAAGATAATAAAGCAATTATATTTAATTTATATTACTTGAAGGTGTTCCGGGAAATAAACAAAATTTGGTTCTTGTAGAATGTCCATTTATTGAAATTAATTTTACTTGAAATAGAAATTTTTTTAAGAGGTGGCAAACAAGCATGCGGCTCACCTGATGTTCATAAACAAATGGCTATATCAGAGCAATGCAATTGCGTTGCCAGCACTTTATAAAGTAGAAGGCTCTTTTCTTCATTTTCATCAATACAAAGTTTTTACAAGTTTCAAAAGGTTTTGTTTTATTAATAACTGGATATTTCACGTAATACCTGATTTGTACAATTCCAGTGACATTTTCATTTTGCTAAATGCTAAAATTTAAATAATTAGTGATACTTGATGTTTAAGATAATTTATTACGAAATATTTTCTTCAATATAAATTCTAGCTAGTATCAATTTCCTAAAGCAATACTAAGTGAGTTCTATTGTATTTTATATTGATCTAAAACTCTAAGTGCATGCAATAAATTATCTTAAAGACTCATCTAACCTTACGTAATCAGCACAATGTATTAAAAATAAAGAATGATTAATTGATTGTTGTTTTAAAACATGGGTGCGATTGTGATGCAATAATGTGATGGTATGTTTTATTAATCACCTATTATCATCACCTTATAAGAAATTTAAAGAAAAAATCTACTATAAATCTATTGTCTTAAAACAGTATTCATTATTGCACATTTATTTATTTATATTACCTAAGATAGCATAATATCTTGTTACGATATCATACTATTGTATTACATACATATAGAAGGTAGGCGGATCATAAAGAGCAGCGAGCCACTCGGACCACGTTTAGCCAAAAAATATGAGTATAGATAAAAAATAATTAAAGAAGTGACAGGTGGCAAGCTCATCGTCTACACAATCACAAACCCAGCATCCCAATAGTTGCCTTACGACATGCTAGGCAAGTAACACAGTCGGCACATTCTTCTTGTTACAAATCCCACATAAACTACCAGATGATTTACAATACAAACTGACTAAACTTGTGCGACGGCTTGCAAACTGTTCTAACGTAAAGTCGATTCAACATTCTATAAACGACTAGCCCCAGCTTCGCACGGGTAATTTCTGGATCTCGACAACAGTGCTACCTACCGGCTCCATTGTAAATCTAAACCATTCAATGCCTCACTCAAACACAATTAAAAATAATTCACCAAAATTGGTCGGGCCGAGGAGTTTAGTAACAAACATACGTACAGAAGAATTATATATAAAGATATGTAGACGATTTTTTATAATTATTGTCATCAGTGAATTTCATGTAGATATATTAAGAAATCACGTGTTAGTTATGTCTCTTGTTAATCTCTCTCTATCTACTGTTACTCGTTAGGAAAATAAATTATATTTCAATTATATTAGCCTGGGAAGTGCTTTAATGGAACTGTGGGGTCAATGAACGTCAGTGAGCTATGCGGAGACAACCTATTTATATATCTACAGTATTCGTTTACGTTTGTAAATTGTCTATTGTTTTATAGTTTCTAGTGTGCGTTGTATAGTAGTCATGAATGAAAAATTTCTTCCTAACTTTCAATTGTTTTCTTTTTCGTTTATAAACTAGCAAATGTTTACTCGTAAATGAATCAGTGTTATTTAGCCACTGACATGGGATCTTGAGTAACTCCATTTAAAAAAGCTAACTTCCAAAGAAGTAAAAACAATATAATCATGGAAACTGGTTGACGTAGTAAAGAATTCGCCTATCGACGTGCGGGTGCCTTTGCAAATTGAAGAGTCCGATGATTTTTACCATTCAATATTCAAATCTTGATCAAATTTATATAGAACTACCTACGAGGTAACGCTTTACCAAACAAAGAAAGAATTATTGAAATCAGCAACGTTGTAAAGAATTTACGCTGAACATGTATAAAAAAGTAATCCGATTAGTTGACGACCTTGTCTTTTTTGTAGTCGGTTAAATACAACATAAAACTAATTTTGTATAAACAGAGATCTCCACTGTAATAACTATTCCGATTATTTAAGTATTGTTAATATCTATAGTTAAGGATTTATTAGTTTTATTTCATTTGTATTAAGTAATAAAATGTACTATAAAAGTGTTGAGGCAATGCTACTCAGGCTGCGAGTCAATGTACGTAAGGGACTATTAGTAGAGTACTCTATTTATTGTTTACTATTTAACAATAATAAAATAAAACACTTCCTTATATTCCGAGTTATATTTGTTGTTTTATTTTAAATCCTTCATTTAATAAGCGAAAAGCTTCTACATAGAATAAGCATGACAAACAAGCGCACAGTCCACCTAATGGTGAGCAGACGCTATGCCCTATAGACATCTATCATCTATTACGAATCATAACGGTGACGCATTGTCACCCATAAGGACTA